AGTACTAACGGGTCCGGGTTCGGGTCCGGGTAAACGGAATAAAATAAGGACCCATACCCGTTAAAAAAAACCGGGTCCGGGTTGGGTCCGGGTCTAGACCCGACCCATTGACAGGCCTACCTGCGCGGCTGCGCCTCTCTACCTTCACTGTTTACTCTTTAATCGTCCAGGCCACCAAGCCTGTCGTTAACTACCCTTGATTTATCGGAGCTTCTGTTGATGCATATAGAGAAACTGAAACTCCATCAAAGTTGAAAGTCTTTGTACCCTACTTTAGTCCTAACCCTCAATGATTGAGTGTCTCCATTCAACTTCAAGGCCGGTTGAGGTTTATCTTTATGATCTAGGTACTCGCGGATCCGCCCGACGACTTTCACGGGATGCTCGGCTGGAAGAGCTTCTTTCACAGCCACTGGGTTGGGGCCTGGGTCTTCGGGATGGCCTAAAGATACAAAATTTGTCTATGGTGGTTTGTTTCTTAGTTTGTTTCTTTTTGTGTGCTACTGTGTCCCTCTATTTATTTGTGATTATCCTTATGGTAATCCAGTTGTGTTTAGGTCCAGAAAAAACCATTGGTTCTTTGGTTGTGTGGTTTTGATTCTTTGAAATTGTAATCAACGTTTCAATAACTGTGATAGAAAAAAATTAGTTTGAATTTCTTAAAAGCATAAAAGGCATGTGGTTTATGAAGGCCTAACCTCTTCACTTCACTCATCATCTCCCTTAGGTTTGAGAGCATTCAAACCTACATAGATTGGTTAATGTTAGATGTGACTAAGAATCCACTCAGTCCAGAAATTGGCGCTAGCGTTTCTCACCTGCCTTCATTCCCTTCATCTTCTTCCGCATGTAAGTTGATAGTTTACTTTATTTTAATGATGATTATTTCTTTTAAAGATGCCACCATTCAATACAGAATTGAAGATCACATAATCCTACATTCTTGGACCTTTTGGACTTCCATTATGGTTGCATCTTTCGGTCATTTATGCCTAACCCTGTGCTAACCTATGCTAATTTAGCATATAGTTAAGTTTTTAAGCATAACTTGTGGGGGGTCACAAGAGCCCTTTGGCTCCCAAAGTTGACTTCTTTGTGCACCTCTTTGAAAAGGGTATTCTGTTGTTGATTGTTACCATTTTGTCCTTGTATTTGGTGCTCACATTGATAGCTTGAATTTTAAATGAATTCCCTGAATTTTAATTACTTATATGTTCACAATGACTATACGAATAATCTAGCTAATTGAACCCAAGCTGGATTCGTTTGTCCTTAAATGACAAAGTATACTATGTCCTGCATTTTAAAACTATGCTACATATGCACAAATCAAGCATTTTTTTGCAAAGAAATTCTATAAGTCTGACTATAAGAGCTGAAGTACTAGGTTCTTAATTTTGCTAATGTCCTCAAACATTAAAATTGAGTAAATTTAGCAACTGATGAATGTAGTTTATAATGATAGCATAAAGGGATCGATGATTCCCTTATAAACTAGGGTATTCAAAGCCTTTTTTTGTGCTAATAAGCTTTAGAAGTTTCACTGCATTTTCAGGACATAGCGGGTAAACCATTTCTCTTAAATAGAGGTGAAACCTTTTCTTATACTTCAAGTAGGTGCTTCCCCCTGCTTCCAGTGCTTTAAAGTAGGGCAAACGCAGTTTTCCATGTTGTGTTGTAGAGGAAATACTTTTTTCTTTTCTTGGTAAGGTGGATCAAACTAGATTTACTTTATTCCCTTTGTCTGGTAGGTAAGTCTAACTATAAGAGCTAAAGTACTACGTTCTTCATTTTGCTAATGTCCTCGAACATTAAAATTGAGTAAATTTAGCAATGATGTGTTCTAAATAATTGTACTACCTAGCATGGCTTTCTTAGGTATTTTCATGCGAATTGAAACAAACACGTAATGATTGTTTGAGAATTTCATTTAATTATTCCTTCTTTATCAGGTTGTGGTACAAAGTCCATCTGAGTTAATAGCTTTTACTGACTAGAGATAGCTAAGTGACACTAACTTTCATGCCATGAACCCCAATGTATTTGGGATTGAGGTGGTGGTAGTTATGAAGCTTAGATGAGGAGCATTAATAATTGGTCTTTCTAGAGTTAATGTTTGAAGAAACGGTTTAACCAAATCACCGTTAATTGTTTCTAGAATTAACAAGCAACATCTATCGTTTGTTAATTTTGTTTTCAATTTCTTACAAGGACATTCTTTTTTATTCGAATTTCGTTCCATTATATCCAGTAAATATCATACAGAGTATTTCATTTCATGACCTAATCAACTTTTTCCTTTTCATTGCTGCTAAGCTATGGCTATTACTTGCACTTTGGTTCAGCCATATAATTCTAATTCCCTTTTAAGTGTATGATATTCATTTTATTTATCTTCTATCATTTCTAACTTCTTTCTTATCTATATCTTTTGTTCAGTTTTTGTTCAAACTTTAAGCTTGTGAGCTTAAGAACAAACAATGTACAAAGTGGAGACATTGGAGAGACTGGCTTAGTGGTAAAATAGGAGTATGGTATTCAGGTTTGCCTATGGCAGCAATTCTGAATAATATACTGAAGTTGAAGCTATTATGTGTGTTAAAATTTGCAGTTTAACTTCCAGGCTTGGTGCATTGTGCATACTTCTCAGTGACAAAGTGCAGTGGATGCATTGACCTCTACATTCTTTTCTCAGATCAATGGTATGCTCAGACTCAGATCAAAGGTTTTTAAATGATTTTAGTTTTCTTATGGGATTAATTCTTATAGGTTTTTATTTGGCACTATTCAGTTTTAATATGCTAAAAAAGTGATATGCTTCTTTACCTTGTTGCTCTCTTTTCAATCTCGATGAGAAATACACAGATTCATCTCTATCCCCGATTCACATAGCAGCAACTTTCTGATTCATTTCTATCTTCCTCAAATCGTTTCTATTTTTTAGTTTCAGTGTAGTTTGATTTGCCGTACGAGTAGTTTTCTTTATTATACATGAGTGTGTTTCTAATAAGAAGAGACACACTTTCATATGAGTGTGTTTATATAACATGCTACATGCCATTGGTTCCTGCTAAGCAATGCAAATGCATCTTGGACCTATTTATTAAGATTGTTTGACTGAAATGTGGAGTATTATACCAGTGGTTGAGTGGGTGAACTACAGGCAGGGGAGGGGAGCAAAATGGTGTGTATTAGAAGTTGACATTTTGTCTTGCTACAGGATTCACGGACCTAATAAAATTGTCATTTGGTCTGGCTGGAGAGAGAAGTTTCAAGGCAATTGGGGATGAGTTGACGAAATCAAATGGCCGCAGGCCTAGGTAATAATTAACAATTGGGGATTCGGGAGTAAGATTTGTATTATTGGTATATGCCCATCTTGATGATATTAGAAACTTGAGTAGATCAGAGTAATGAGAGAGGAATCTTTTTTTTGTAAGCATATTAGGTGTGTATTTCAGTTTTACCAACTATGGTTTATTGGTTTATAGTGATATTTGCCTACATATATATACAAGAATGGGTATAGATTTTATTTGGTAGAGAAACAAAAAAAAAAGAGGCATATTGGGTGTTTGTAACTATGCGTGATTTTTTTTAGAAATAGCAGATATGACTATTTCTTATCGAAATTGGAAAAAATTAACAGAACATACTATCAAATCAATCTTATAAGATACAGGAACAAAGTATGCGACTTAGGTATTAACGACAAGACATCACTTTGTTTGATATAGCTATTTTAACAAAAATATCTCTTTAAGGTATTTAAGAAGAGATGTTTAGAAATAGGTTCTCATTCGAATTTGCTTTTACTATCCTTTTTGTAACTCTTAAATGTGTCATTGCAACACACTCAACACTCCTACTATGTATTATAAAAGAATTAACATCTATAAACACCTAAAATTGGGCATTATCCCCTCGCGCATCGCGCGATAAAATAACTAGTTATAAAATAAAAGCATACTACGTACGTAACAGAGATGAAGTATACAAACGTACTTTATCACTTCTATCATCTTTAAATAATGGGCACTAATAATACAAGTAATAGGACTTTACAAAAACAACAACATTCAAGCCTTAATCCCATAAGATATTGAGATCGACTAACATGAATCTATCCATGAAGACCATGATATCAACGTAAAAAAGAGAAGAAAAACAAGAAAAATAGAAAAGTAAAAAAATAAAATGGATAAGATTTTGGCTGCAATGGCGGAGAGATTTTGTTTCACGGGGAAAACAGCATTGGGCCGCACCGGGGCAACACTAATTTATTTATTTTTTTATTTCGTTCGAACGTAAAAATAATTCATGGGGCATCGGCTGTAATACGCATCACAACAGCCTTAATAGCCACATCCGCAGTGACCGCAACACCAACGATCGCAATTTAAAACCTTGATATGGACTAAAGAGTAAATATATAATGTATGATGATGGATAATTTAATAATCATTTAAAAAATACGAATATAGGAAATTTATCAATCCGGAACTTGAAAGATAGATGATTTATCAGTCCAATACCTGAAAGGTGAAATGTATTGATATATGACCCGAATGATGAAAAACAATTAATCAATATAGGACATTTCAATTTATTTAAGTTTTTATCAATTCCATTGCTAATATTTGATTAATTTTTCTTCACAAAAGTTTATTAGTTGAACAAAACTAAATAATATTTAATTTTTTAAAATAAAAATAATAATAAAATTTATGAAAACTTAGGTCCTATATGGTATCCAATCATGTGGGTCCTAGATTAGTTTTCCATCATTCCGGTCATGTACCAATATATTTCATCTTTCAAATCTCAGATTTATAATTCGTCTATCTTTTAGGTCACGTATTGATAAAAGTTATAATACCTATTTGTATTTTACATTCAAGTCATATCAAATAGACGTGCTCATGTGCTACCGGGGCATGCCCCGGACTTTACACTAGTAGAAATTATAACATAGTATAAGTATAAAATTTAATGAATAAGCCTCGTAGTAAAATTGCATTGAAATTTACTTAGGCTTAGAATTAAAGCGACGACTGAAGTGGTGATTGATTGTATGCTCAGATTTGGGAGCAAAATTACATTGGCCTAAAATAAAATGTACAGGAAATGAAGAGAGCCTCTAGGGGAGATAAGAGATTCCCCACATGCCGGCCGATGAAAATGAGACCTGAATTAATCGTACTTCGCCGTTATTACTATTATAATTAAGGGAGAAGATGGAATTGTCCGGCGGCGGCGGAGAGGTTGTCCATAACAGCTACCTGCATATGTTCTGATGGCCTCCAGTGTCGCTTTCTTTGATTTATAAACCAATTGTTGATTTGCTTCTGGTCTAGCCCTGTCATCTCAGCCAACGTTACCTTATCTGCCTCCTGAATAATTAATTAATTAATTAACCTCACTCACTATTCATCACAAAACACTGTTTAAAGCAAGAAATTACGCAAAGACGACATGTTGCATTGCCATTAATTTATTAGAGATTTGTTTTTTGCTAGATCAACAATGGGGGCCCTTCATAAAAAAGCTACCATAAGTTACCAAACTATTTACTTTAATCCGCTAATGATAGCAGATTAGCAGCTAGTCAGAAGTCAAAACAGTTAACATAATCCACTGATACCAATCAATGATACAATCGGCTATCAACTAAAGCCAATTGCTGACTGCCCAACCCTCATTATGAGGAGATTTAAATGTTACTCCATTTGTTCTGTTTTTCCTTTTTCATCCAAGCGCATCAAATTTATTATGTGATAAAATTTATATGGTTCTAATTCATTTTTTGTTAATTTACATTTTACCAATTCTATACGAACTATATTCTTCTAATAGTCACACCTCCTCTCTTGTCTCAATCTTAAGATCTATATTCTTCTAATAGTCACACCTCCTCTCTTGTCTCAATCTTAAGATGAAAAAGATTGTAATACTGTTCAACATTTTACATTATTTGACACATTGAGAGCTTATTTGGTATTAATGAAATTGACTGAATTTATTGATAATGGTGAAATTATGGTTGAAAATTAGAATTGGCTGAATTTGTTGTTAGACTAATAAAATAAAGAAACTATTATATGAAAATAGCTAAATAGTCTTTTGCAATAACTTTAGTTTTTCTTTGGAAGAGCAATAACTTTAGTTGATTCAGTCATAAAAATAATTTCGAATAACTTATTTTGATTATTAGAAAATTGATTGTACTAATAAATTCTAAATAAAGGTTAGCAGTTCAAACGAGCTCTTTGGACAGTGGCCCCAACGCCACGAAACTAAACTCATAAATTTTAAAGTGTAGGGTTTAGGATTTAGCCACACCTCTAAACCCTAAATCTTACATTTTGCATATCCTAGCTAGGTCGTAAGGTCGGAGAGAAAAAGAAAAGATACCGTAGGGTTTAGGACTTAGTCACGGATTTGTCCGTCACTAAGCAAAACCGTGTCCAACACGCGTCCAACACGTGTTAATTACGTGTAAATGACGTGTTAATCAACATAGTCACGGAACTAGTCACGGATATGGCCGTGACTACAATTATCCGTACATAATGCCGATGCGAATTAACCAAGGGAGTTGAAAAAAATTAAATTTTAATTATAGTCACGGGCATAGTCACGGATTTGGCCGTGACTAAATCATCGGAATCAAAAAAACTGCGCCGGAAACGGGAATTGGCCTGTCGGAGAAATTAAGTCACGGCCATGGACCGTGACTAATGTTAGTCACGGTCATAGTCACGGCCCTGACCGTGACTATTTTTTTTTTTTAAAATTCCGTGACAAATCCGTGACTAGACCGTGACTAAACTAGTCACGGACGAAATCCGTGACTAAAATCCGTGACTATAACGCTGTTTTTTTGTAGTGCACCGGTAGTGAACCTTCCACCATTCAAGCAATATATGCCTGGCATCTTTGGGGAGCTTCCCTTTCTTTCTCTTCTTTGAAAATTCCAGTTTTAGGCTGCTTATATGACCGCCATACTTCTCTAGCAGCTTGTTCTTCAGTTCCCCATCTTCGCTACTTATGGCCTCATTGCTGTTCTCATCTTCTGACAATAGACCACCCTCGTCAGCGACCCCACAACAATACGTGAATCAATATATACATAGTTAAATAAATACTCAGCTTCATCTTCCTAGTAACATGCATTTTTAAATGCGCAACATTATTTTTAATTGCCCTAGACTTCAGCTCACACCGCAATAGTGACATATTTTCTTTACGGCTAAAACCGCAGCGTAACTGCAATGCAACCGCAAAGTAACCGCATTCGGGTAACCGGTCCACCGCATCAGGACCGCAACACTATTTTTTTTATCAGTGAGAACGTATAATTGATTCACATTGTATCACCCACCACAATACTTATCAGTTATCACAACGATCACAATAGTCGCAACCGCACTATTTTCAATGACGCAATAACTGCAATTTTTCTTTTTTTTAGAAAAAAAGATGTTTGGACCATTCTTGGTGTACACAAGATGTACACAAAATGTGTACATTGTCTGTGTACACAGACAATTTGACATCAAGTCCTGCCCCTTTTAAAACGAATTGTCTGTGTACACAGACAACTAGGGGGGTTTTGTGTACAATTTATGTACAACTTGTGTACACTAAGAATTTTCCTTGTACATAACTAGTAAACAAGTTATACGTAGTATAAAAGCATAAAACTTTCCCACCCACCCCCTTTCTCTCTCCCTGCCCTCTCTCTGCCCCTTCTACCGAGTTCCATTGATTATGCAAAAAAAGTTGGATAATCTTGTTTACTTCATCCTTCTCTTCCCTCTCCATCATCTTCTTCTCTACTCTTTTATATCCAATTTTTTCCCTTGCAGAAAATCAACTTATTCATCTTTTTCATCTATTTTTATAGTTTTTTCAAATAATATGCAAATTGATCACACATGCAACTACATAATTCATTTGGACATATATAGGCAATTCATTTTTTTGCTCACTCCGACAATAAAAATTGATACACTGACAAGTATTGGATGTGAATCGCACTAGTATGATCTATGAGTTGCACAACTATTTTCTTTGTGGTAAAATCTATTTGAAAAATCCAAATTTTAGCCGCATAAAACAATTGTCTGTGCACAAGCAATTATTTTTATGCACACAAGTAGTGCACACATTTGTATTAATTTGCACGCCAATGTCAATGTCAGGCGGTTGACAGTTTACTTTGTTTACACGAAAGCTAATGTCTATAGATACATACAAAAATTGTCTCTGATTAAGACAACTCTTGCCTATGCACACAAAAAACTCCGTTCCATTTGTCTGCGATCAACATTTTGTGTATTAGTTGCGTATGACTTGTGTACTAAACTCAAAATTGTGTTTTTAGTTCTAAATGAGCATCATTTAAAACAGTAGGCGAAGAAACTCCAAATCCAGATGCAATAATTGCCTCGGAAAAGAAAATTGATACGAGAGGCGATGAATAGCAGCGGCATAGCAGGTGATTCGTGAGATCGAGTATATGAAGAGGACGCATGACTGAGACATCACAAATGCCTGCTGTCCTGGGGTTTATTTGTCAGCCACTAAACAATGCGTCTAGAGAAAGATGATCCATATATTAATTATTGTAATCGTGATTTGTGAGTAATTTTTAGAATAAATGCACCGCCACGACAATTTTATTTCCTCGAACTATACTTAGGGAGTGTTTGCAATTGCTTCAACTTAAAAAAAGTGATTTTTTAAAGTGATTTTGGGAAAAGTGATTAATAGTAAAAGTTGGTAGTGTTTGAGAAAAAAGTGTTTCTGAAAAAGTAAAAGTTGGTAGTGTTTGGTAAAATAAGTACTTTTTGTGTAATAGAAAAAGTGAGAAGCAGTTTAAAGCACCCTTCTACTTGCTTCCAGCTTTTAGCTTTTAAGTGATTAATTTAAGCAAAAGCTGTCATTTGAAAACACTCTTTTCAACTTTTTTTAAGCCAAAAGCTGAAAAGTGTTTTTTTAAGCAAACCCAGACACTCCTTTATTTACTTGCTCCCTCACCTTTTCAGACTGGAAATAAAAACAAAATGCGACGATGGTGCAAAAGTAAAGAAAAAGACATACTACATCCATCCCTAATAAAACTTCCAAATGGGTTGAGCACACAGTTTAAGATAATAGATATTGTATGATGAAGAGTTGTGCAGAGGAGAAAGTTTAGAATGATGAAAGAATAAGTGAGAAGATACTCCACCCGTCTCTTATAATTCTATCATTTTCTTTCTTTATTATCTCAAATACTTTGTCATTTTATTCAATTAATTATAGTTCCTACTCAGTATTATTTTTGTCTCATCTACACAAATCACAAATACAATTTTTTTATTTTTTTATTTTCTGTATTGATCAAATTTAAAAGAAAAAGGATGGAGGTAATAGTTAAGAACGTACAATTATAAATTCTGACTTCTAAAATCCAAATGAAGTACTCCGTATTGAAAAAGTTGAAACACAAGAAAAGGACAGCGCGAAGAATGGGAGTGCATGTGAATGAAGCTCTACAAAGGGGCTATCCCCGGCTCCTCCGGCTTTTCCAAAAAAGTTGAATCCTAATGGACCCCGCTATAACGACGGCCCAACTCAGGAGCTCAAACAAAAAGTGCAATAAATGAAGCATGCTCCTCCTATTCTCCAGGACTCGCCACCCATCATTAACCATTCACTAAAAAATAAAAGAAATATATATTGAGGTAATTTACATGGAAAATAGAGGGAAAAAATCATTTGGAAATTAGGTTTTATGAATTTGACTCCTCACCCAGAGAATGCAATCTCAGAGAATTAGAGGGAAAAAGTGGCGATGAAGAGGAAATAAAGAGAAGAAGAAAAGAGGAAAATGGGGTAGTCACAAAAAATTAAAAACAAAAAAAGTTGAAATAAAAAGATGAAAACAAAAATGAGGTAGTATATTCCGTTAACCATACTTTAGTTTGACACAGTTGTTAATAAAATGATGGCTAAACGGTCAAATAGACCCTTGAACTGACTTAAAATGTTCAATTAGCCCCTTATATAGGAGGATCTGCCCGGCCGTTGCTAATTGGGGCGGTTCCCCGTGTAATTTTTCGATAATATTTTTTGAGCATCTTCTTCATTAATTCTAGTTTACCCATACCAAATTTCAGCTAAAAATTCAACCGGGAAGGCAGTCAAATGATTTTACGAAATGTACTGCGCTGTTTAACTTCGCAGTTATCTTCAAAAAATCATTTGACTGCCTTCCCGGTTGAATTTTTAGCTGAAATTTGGTATGAGTAAACTAGACTTAATGAGGAAGATGCTAAAAAAAATTCATCAAAAAATTTCACCGGGAACCGCCCCAATTGACGACGGCCGGGCAGAACCTCCTATATAAGGGGCTAATTGAACACTTTAAGTCAGTTCAAGGGCCTATTTGACCCTTCAGCCTAGAATGATTGAAAAAGGAAAAATTTCGACTACGATTTGAATATAATAAGTAAAATGCAGTAGACCACATGTTTCTTTCCAAAAAAGAAAAATGAACATTTATTTCAGGACCGACACGAGAATTAATAAAGTAAAAACTACGTGGTTTAGTTTTTTGCAAAGAAGAAAGAATTAACTAGAACCACAAATTCTTTACTTAGAAGGGAAAGTGAAAAAGTTAGTGAGACATTCAAGAAAAGAAAGTTGACAAAGTTGTAAAAGACGGAGTACAAAATAGTACTCCGTAAATAGATCCATAAAAATAGAGTTCATGATAAGGTTACAATTTTTGAAAAATATCAAGAATAATCAAGATGTTTGAGAATTGAATTCATCTCTTTAGTTCTGATAATAGACTTGAGGTTTAGGAGTCCATTTCCTTGCTATCGAGTATCACTGTATTAGTTTGTATAATTTTTTTTAAAAGTAATTTGGACTGATTTTTCTTCGCTTTGTAGGAGCACAATACTTTCAAGGATAGGTGTTGTGTCAAGCTAAAATGAAAGATGCCATGTACTCCTTTTAAAATATTTCCTCCGTCCAATAAAATTCTTTCTCGGTTTGATTTGGATCGTAGTTTAAGGAAGTAAGAATGAAATGAAAATGTATGATTAAGATTAAATTAGAAAAAAGTAAATGAATGTTAGCCCACACAAAAATCCGAAAAGGAAAAGTCAGAAGAATTTTTAGGAGTGAAAGAAAGTGATGATTTTTATATATTAAAAAAAATCATATGGAGTACTAATATAGCAATGGCACATAATTTTGCGAACGGTTCTCCTAATCTCCTCGATTATACTAGTTACATGAAGAGGCAGTTAGGGTTTGTTTATTCTCTGATCTTACATAGTGTGACAGGTAAGATTATATGATTACCCATTACCGGGGCAAATCGTAGTAGGGACCCAGGAGGGCTACCGCCTCCCCAACAAAAAAATATTTTAGTGTATATATATATACGGGAAAAAAATTTCGCCCCCAAAAAATATTTTGAACCCCAAGATGAATTTTCTGAGTCCGCCCCTGCCCGTTACCGAATCACCCCATTATCCTCTCTAAACCAGGTCGAGTTAAACCAACTTCGAGTACAAACAAAACATTTTAGATAAAACCCATACCAGAAATGAGTATAAGAACCCATGCCATAAATAGTCATCACGAGGAAAAACTGAACAAAAAAATACGTTATTCTTTCGATTAAAACCAACACTTTGTGTAAAAAGAATTGTTTAATAAGGCGAGAGTTCCAATGTTTGAAATATACGGAGTATATTGTTGACTTTGATCCGGTTTCAAATGAGACAAAAAAATCATTTGGGATCTTGAGAAGCGTGTACCAAACAAAATAGCTCCCTCCGTCCTGGTGTGCGGTGGATATTGTCAATTTGACACAAGCGTATACTTCCTCTTACCATTTATATTGTCCCACTTAAATTGTTCCATATCATATTTGTCAAATTTTGTGTGGCTCTAAATCATTCTTACATTATTCTTACTTTATCAATTAATATCAATCACACAAACCCACTTTTCTTAATAACCGTGCCACCTTATTCCGTCCCAATATAAATGGGACGGAGGTAG